TTGCTTCATCCATGGCCACAAAGATTTACTTCTAAATTTTCTTCTCAGAATTGTAGTTTTAGTTCTTGCATTTAAGTCCATGACCTCTATGACCCGTTTAGAGTTAATTTTTGTGCAAAGTGTGGATCCAACTTTAGTCTTGCATTATCCCAGCATCATTTCTTGAAAAGATTATTCTTTCCCCCATTGAATTACCTCAGCAATCTGACAAAAAAAATCAACTAGCCATAAATATAAGTTTTTATTTCTGGACATTCAATTATATTACATTGTTACATATGTCTAACTTTTTGCCAATACCATACAGCTTTGTATTATGTTTTGAAATCGGGAAGTGAAGGTTTGTCAACTTTGTTCTCTTTTGAGATTATTCTGTCAACTCTGAACCTCTTGTGTTTCCATATGAATTTTAGGATTAGCCTGTCGCTTTCTAAAAATAAACAAGCTGGGGTTTTGACAGGGACTTCATTGAATCTGTAGGTCAATTCGGGGAATATAACATCATTATCTTTTGTATGGACTTTCAAATGCCCTCCCAAATGATCTCACTTCAGTCCTTGTCCCCAAAATCTATTTTGCATCTAGAACCCAAGTGATTCTTTGAAAACTTAAGTCAGATCATCTCACTCCTCTGCTTACAAACCACCAATGCCTTTCTATTTCACTCAGAATTAAATCTAAAGTCCTTACCAAGGTTCTATGGTCCCACATTTACTTTTCCCCTGCTATCACTCTGATTTCATATCTTACAATGTCCCCTCTCACTCATTCATTTCAACTACACCTAACTTATCGTTAATCACTCCATGCATGATCCACCTCATATATGTTATACTCTTTCTGTTCACTTTACCTATATTGTTCTATCTGTAAACCTTTCACTTCCTTCAGGTCTCAGTTATGTCATATTATTAGACCCCTGATCTTATACCTGGAGCCATGCCCATTTGATAGTACTTAGTAAGAAGGAAAAAAACATACATTTGTTTAATTCCTACCATGTGTCTGACACAATGTTAGGTATGCTAAAAGAGTTTGTTAGTCTTTCACAGATAAAGAACTAAGGCCTTACAAAGTTTAATTTTTCTATCAGTCCTACATGGAGGAAATACAGAGTCAACATTCAAACTGAGATCTGCCTTGATCCCTTAATTTAAAATATCATCTCTCCATCAACTTTAATTTCTGATCTGCTTTGTTTTTCTTCAGAACACATCACTGTCTGATATATAATGTCTATCACAAAATGTCATCATATATATATTTTTAAGTATGATCTTCTCTCAATATAATGTAAGTTTCATGAAAACAATAATTTGGTTTTGTTCACTATTTTATTCTCAGTTCTTAGAGCAGTGCCTGTCACATATGGAATATTCAATACATGTCTGGAAAGATGAAGCATGTATTTTAAAAATATCTAATGGCTACAGATAAAACAGCCAATTCTAGCAGGAGTCCATTAGATAATGGTGCATGCAAATAATACATAGTTAAAACTTTTCTTGTCCTTTTATGTTCAATATTTTATATTATTCAATCAGTATGTCCACTATAAAGGACACGTAAAATGATTCTGAAGGCAGACTAACGTAACTCATTCTTAATTGAATGCACCTTTGTAAAATCTTATTTGCAACAAGTCAAAAATACTAATGTCTTATAATCATGACCAGTCCTGTCAAGTAATAAAATTTAGATAGCCATTATCTAAAATCAGAAAATCACTGGTATCTTATAAATAGCATTCTAAACTAAAAAGCCAAAAATAATTTAACTTGTTCACAATTCTATTTTTAACTCTACATGATGTGGAACGTGCTGCCGGACAAGTCATTTATCTTTTCTAATCTTAGGTCGCATTTCCTTAAGACAAAGCTAATACAAATTGTTTCCATGTATAGTTTCTCATGTATTTGGCAATGTTGAGAAATGTGACATAATTTTAAGCACAGGTTAATTTTTTACTTAAGAATTGCCATTCCAATGAAAACAATTCCTATAGTGCAAAGCTTTCAATGCCAGTAGAAAGAAACACATTAATAGTGGAAGAATGAAAAATAATAGAACCGTAAATGCATGGGCAGCAGTATGTTAAAGTGGTAAGGCCTGGAAGGCAGACAGACCTCAATTTGAACATTGACACTATATTTCCTCCATGTGGGGATGACAGAAAAATTAAACTGCATAAAGCCTTACTTCTTTATCTCTAAAATAGTAACAAACACTTTTAGAGCACCTAACGTTGTGTCAGACACATGGTTGGTATTGAATAAATGTATGGTTTTCCCCTTACTAAGGACTATCAAATAAGCATGGCACCAGGTATAAGATTATGGGTCTAATGAAAAGATACACTGGAACTCTATTACACTACGAAGCATGTGTAATAATTTCTGAAATTAGTAGCATTTCCATTTTATTTTTTAAATTAACTGATATTCTTTATAATATAATCACATCAAGGAAATGAAAACTTTATTGCAAAATGGAATATTTTTAAAAGATGAAAAAAGCGGGAGAGAGATCCAAGATGGCTGATCACTAGCAGCTCGGGATTGCAGCTCCCACTGAAAGAGCAGAGAACGAGAGGACGCCACACTTTCAGATCAATTTTTGTTGCTCAC